CCCCGGTTCTCCCTGTCACCTCCCTCTTCCCTTCCAGGGGTCCGTTTTGGATCATCCTATGGTCGTACCATAAGCAAGAAGACCACGATGTCGTCAATTACTTATTAATGCATCTCGCTAATCTCTAAGATCTTACGCTGGCATGACGGTCTACAGACTGATGAAACGTTGCCATAATTTGGGGTGCATTCCGAAATCATAACCAAATCCCCTTCTACAACACACAGAAAAATGAATGTTTTCGGGAACAACAAATGATGATTTTCAGAGTAACTTAAAAACAAGTTCTTACTCGTACCACTGTACGTCCCGTTTAACCATCGGAACGAATCAATAACTCTTGAACTGGTTATCTCTGCTTGCGACACAGTCAAAAGCGAAATTACTTTAGCTTTCCTTGACACTACCCCTTCTCCGGTGGGCATGTGTACGTCATATGTGAGGAAGAACTATGTGAAATTGTCTTGGTTGTGCTTCACCCTCCTTCCTCCCCCACCCCTAAAAAATCTGAAGCAATTCATTATTGCTCTGACAAATGGATAAAGAAATAGCAAACCTTGTTAAATTTGAAGGAAGAAGATGGAAAATAGATGTAAAAGTTGCATGTACATGGCCCCATCTGTTGCGTGAAATGTAATTACGAAGTTTTGGCGCTTCAACAGGACGCTCACCAAACCAAGCAACCGTACAGCTAGTGATCTGCTGCTGTCCATCCGCACTAACACCAATTTCAATCGAGGCATCCGAATTTTTGATCTTGTAATATCCGGAACTGGACAGGAAATCGCAGCTGAAAAATGAAAGATATTGTGATTTCAAAAAATGTTCATCCAAATCCCTCCTTTTTCGAGGACCGGAAAAAAACAGCCCATGTCCGGTGCAAATACACTAGGCTTATGGTTGCACTGCTGGAAGCTTCACGAATCAGACAACTTCAAAAAAGTTTTTCCCTTTCTGGATTTCATTTTTCTCAAGCAACAAAAGCAGCTTTGCCGATCCGAATATTAACATTTCTACCAAACCAACAATCTTGCTGGCAAAGATTTTCGAAGTTTCCATCCACCAAGCTTGAGAAACACAGCAAAGACGCATTGAAAAGTTGTGGATTCTAGGCAATTAGCTCAGACCTCCTTCACTGTGATGCGAAAAACTAGCTTCTAAGTAAGTTTAATTGAAGATTTAGAAGAAAAAATTAGTCTAAGTGCGAAAAAACCATCTTGAATTTTCCAAATGAGATTCATGGATAGCGTGGAATCGCCGGAGCAACCGGCGGTACTAAGATGTAGGCGCGTATAAACAGCAGACACACTTTCATTGCGCAAAAGCATAAACAAACACTCACATTCACTTGCCTTAATCTTCATTTCACTACATTATTATTCTTATCATTATTATTATTATTATTATTGTTATTATTACTTTTATTAGTATTATTGTCATTGTTATTATTATTGTTACTATTGTCATTATTACCATTATTATTGTTATTATTATTGTTATTGTTACTATCATTACTATTATTATTATTATTATTATTATTATTATTATTATTATTATTATTAT